TCTATCATTGAGTAGGAAGGGCTCTATCTTAAGGCTGGCCTTTTAGGTGGAGATTATATATAGGGTTAGGAGATTTTGAACACTAAAGATTTCCAAATTGTTCCTTACATCATTATCATCACAGACTAGTAAGACAATCCAATCCTTACCCATCATAGGCTACCAAAAGAGAGGATTCAATTTAAGTAGGAGTATTTCGCTAGCCATTATGGAGATTATCATCTCACAATAGTGTAGCACTTTACTCTCTCCTTAGAAAGACAAAGCCTGGGAGTAGTGCTCATGTAATGAAAATGCATGTGATAGTTTGTGTGAAGGAATATAAAAGTTTAAACCCCAATAAATAAAAGACAAAAAAAAGACAAAAACGTTAGTAAATAGATAACACAAATCATTACAATTTAAAACCATTAAATCGAAGGATAGGATAAATTTAAAAATTATGGCTTAACTCTCTAGCATCCCCAGTGGAGTCACTAAACTATCATAACATACAAATCTAAAAATCTATAGCTAGACTTAACAAATGGAGTCATCACCAATCTTTTTTGTCTAGGTATAATTGGCCACCAAAGAAATTTATCCTTTTAAGGAGCACCTAAGCTTAACTAAGGATCTTTAAAAGAATAGGTTCTGGTCTACTAATTAAAACAAGGTTCAAGAGTTCGGTTATATATAGGGAAGGTTGTAGCACCCCCACATACCTATCCGAAGGATGGTACCATTTTATTTTAAATTTATCCTAAGGTTTTGATCCTAATGGTCTTAAATTTTTATGTTGAAATATTGGAAATAATTCTTAAGATTCTCCATCAATTTGGTAAAATTCTTAAAAATATTTTCTTAATTTAAAAGTATTCAAGAATCCCTATTTGTTTTCTTAAAGAGGCTCCATCGTCGAAAAAAGGGTTTAATTATTATTTTTTTGTTTTATTTTTTTATTGAAAATATATCTAATTATTCTACCATTTGGGCCAAATTAGAGATATCTTCTTTTTTTTTTTTTAATTTCTAAATTTTTCACCATTTGGGCTTATTTAGAAATTTTTCATTTTTTATTCTTTGGAAAGAAAATAACATGAAAATTATTTTTTATTGAAATTTCATTTAAATTTTTTCATCATTTGGGATAAATTTAAAGAAATCTCTCACCTAGAGATTTTTTAAGAATTTACCATTTGAAATTTTTAAGAATCACATCATTGGATAATTATGAAATATTTTCAACCAAAATTTTTTCATTTTACTATTATTATTTCCTTTTTCTATTTGAAAATAAATATTAATTATTGTTATTGAAACTTTCTCCAAATTATTCCACAATTTGAGACAAATTTAGAAAAAATTTCTCACCTACGAATTTTATAGAAATTTACTATTTAAAATTTTTAAAAATTCTATCATTGCATAATTAATATTTAATTCCAAAATTTTATATTTTTTTATTATTTTTTCTAAACTTAATCATGCAAAAATACCTTTAAAAATAAACAAACACATAAATAATAAATAAATACCAAAAAAAAGAAATGGCTCTGCTAGAGTGGCGGGGCGCGGCTTAGCTCGATTGAAGGGACTGGTTGGAACATGGGTCGGTGAAATGGGTTGTGCTTGGGTCGGGTTGGTCTAAGTGAAAATGTGAGGATCCTGGGAGATTCTTAAGCTCCAAAACAATGTCATCTTACAGAGGGTATAAAAGGCAAAAAGTCTTTTTTTTTCTTAGAATTCCTCTACTCCCTCTCTCTCTTCTCCCCTTTTCTCTCCATTTTCTCTTTAGACTAGATGAACTCTGATTGAATATTCATCAGATTTTGGAAAATGTGGCCTGAATCTAAGTTTGTACACTAGAAGTTGGCCAGAACTTCGCCAATTTCTAGAAATCTATTGTGAAAACTAAGGAATACATCAAAATCTAGGAATCTCACCAGAAAATTCAAAGTCGCCAAAAAATTCAATCAGATTCTAAAAATTTTCTACAAAATTTTGTAAAGAAAAAACTGGTTTTTCCCCAAAAATTCCCTTAAAAATTTTCACACTCTCTGGATGCTTTTGCAAATGCTTTTTGTTGATCTATCCGTATTTCTTTTTTTTTTTACCTCTAATCTCTGTGTTTTTGTGTACCCTCTTAGGCTCGATTAGTGTTTGTATTTATAGGGTTCAATTCAAGAGAACCTTATATCAATAGAGTTTTGATTCCCTTTCCAGTTCAAACTTCAATTTTGATTTCAACCCAAATTCAACAATCCCAGAGAAACAATCCTAAACAGATCCAACCTTTTTATAGTTTTCCTGATTTTTTATTTTTTTTTCTATTTTTATTATATATTATTATTTTTCAAATTAACAGAAACAAGTAGAACCCCAGACAGATTGGGGTGTCTATAGTTATCAAAGTGCATTTAAAAGGGTATGCAAAGCAAGAAAAATAAAAATTATCGAAATATTTTATTAAGTTGATTGATGTATTATTTCTTCTCTAAAATAAAATTTGAATCTATTTTCCTAAAAAAGGAAAAACAAAGAAATTTAACTATGAACATAGTTAGCTGTCAAAAAAAAGCTTGTGGTTAAAATATTATGGGTATTGATTTAGTATGTAATTTTTTTGATATTGAAGTCCTATTTTGATATTACTAATAATCTTACATTCTTGATACTTGAAAATATTGTATAACCAAATGTAATAATCAAATAATCAAAAGTAAAAATATGATCAATAATCTTTTTTCTTTTGAATCAAATGCTTTTATAAAAAAAATATAATTATGATGCAAATTTTCTAAAAGTTGATAAGTTTGCATTTTTTAAAGCAATTGATTTGTTTTTATCACCTTTCCTCTTGAAAATGCAGGAAGATCTACCTCATTCTATCTACTTTTTCTTTTTTTTTTTTTTTTTTTGAAATGTTGGCTACTTTTTTATTTCTAAACCAATGAGTGTTAAGCATAAAGTTATGGGTAAAAGAATTAAAAGAACCTAACATGTGAAAACACTAATATTTCTCTGCATGATTTTATTAAAGCAATATCACCCTCTATTTGTTGCTGAAACTGGGATCAAGCCCTTACTAAATTTCTTCCTCTAAGCTATGGTTGGATGAAGTATTTGAAGAGTGTAATGTATTTCAAGCATGCTTTTCAAAAGTCAAAAAGTAAATTCATTTATTTCGCTAAAAAGAAGAAGGAATTTCAAAATTTTGGCAAATTGCAAATGTGTAATTGAATTCAGAGTTGGATCAAATCCACAAAATCTCTTTTTGCCATTAAGTGAAATTTCGTTTTTGGGTTTTTTTTTTTTTTTTTTTGTTGATAGAAAAAGAATAGTGATGAGTGAGTTTTTCCTTTTCCTTTTTTTCTTTTTAGCTTGTGGGGAAAGTTAAAAGTATGACGTGATTTTTTAATTTCATGATTATTATTATTTACTTACTTTTTTTAATAGGTCGAAATGACATATTTGTCAAATGCAATATTTTAAAAAGCTTTTCTTTTTATAATCAAAATGATTTTTCCACAAAAAATTAATTATTTTTATATAATTAAATAGCTTTGCATACTATTTGTGTCAAAAAATTTGCATAAATAAAAATTATAATTGATTATAATATTTAATTGTGAATTAAATTTTAAAATTATCGATTTTAACATTTTAAAATTAATTTAATTTTCTGTAGTTGTTTTTATTTTAAAAATTAATATTTTGAAATAATTATCTTTCTTTTATAATTACTACTATTTTTTTCATAAGTAATATTATTTATTTATTTATCATATAATATAATTTAAGTTTCTTATAAATAATTTCTTTTAGAGAAAAGCAACCTCACGCAAAATGGAGGAAACATTTTAATATAAATACATAACAAAAAATTATAGAAACAAAACAAAAAAAAAGTTAAATGCTTTTATTAAACCAACACTTTACCTAAAAACTAAAGTTTATATCCTAAGAATTCTATTGTTAGATTAAAAAAAAAAACAAATTCTATATTTTTACTGCACAAATGTTTCACACCCTTAGTTTGATTTGATTAACTAATATTAATAAGTTAAAAAAGAAAAAAATGATTTAATGATTTAAAGAATATTGAAGTAAAGTTATAATATTTTTATCTTCCACAGAAGTTCCACACCTCTCAAACGCATTATATAAGTAAATTACATTTTTCTCATATATAAAATAAATCATAAATAAATGGCACAAGTCATGCTAGGTTATTCTATCACAAGTAAATGGTAACACTCTTTCATCTCGTATCTTATTTCATAATTTGAACTAGAGATCTGTAATTTAGAGTCTCAAATTGTAATTAAAAAGATGTCCTTTTGGAACCAATGTATTTATTTAATTAATATTACTTTAAGTCTTTTTTTTAAATTTGTTAATTATTTCTTTTATCTATATTTCTATATTATTAATTAATAACTATAATGATAGGATAATGAATCTTAATTAGATTGTAGCTTTAATGAATATATTGATTAACTACTAGTTAATTAATGTGAACCAAAAAATTTGTGATTAACTTTTCGTAAATATTTTATGTGATTGAGTTAAATTAATATACATAATATTATTGATTATTTGTTAAACCTCAAAAAGATAAGAAATTACGAAAATAATTTTTTTATTACTTATATTTAAGCGTGAGAGAAAATCTTGGTTTTTCTTTTTTCATTTGTAACTTAATACTTATGTTAATTTCTTTAAACAAATAAAAACATATTTGACATGTTCAAATAAAATAAATATTATAGTATTCAACAAATAAAAATAATTAAAAGTTTAAACACTAGTATTCTTGGTATTACATTTAGAAAGAGATAATAATATAAATGTAAAATCCCGCCGGTCTTGAAGTTGCATCTTTCCACATGATGTGGATGTTTCATAGTGACTGAAATACTCTAATTTTTTGCATAAATACCTGACCATGCCAATGTAATTTACAACAACTAACAAACAATACTTTTTGAACCATCCAAATCTTGGCATCTTTCACAATGCCATTCAAAGCCCTATTCTTCCTTATAGTCGTCCTGCATCAGTCTCCCTCTGTTCTTGCTTCTTCATCCCCCATTGCTGCAAATGAAACAGAAACTCTTCTAAAATGGAAAGCTAGCCTTGACAACAACACCAAACTTTGCTCTCTTCTTTGTGGGTTGGAGACAAGCATTGCAATTGGGTCGGAATCACTTGCAACAAGGCTGGAAGCATCACCAATCTAAGCCTTCCAGATTATGGGTTCAAAGGTACACTTCATAGTCTCAACTTCTTGTCCTTCCCCAACCTCATCGGTCTTCACCTTCCTAACAACTCACTGTATGGGTCCATTCCCTCACACATTGGAAATCTTTCCAAGCTCACCGAACTTGACTTGTCCAAGAATGATTTCGCCGGAAATATTCCATCTAACATAGGAAGATTATTAAGTTCACTTTCTATACTCTATCTCCATGAAAACGATCTCAGTGGTCCAATACCTATTTCTATTGGAAGCTTGCACAATTTGTCCCGACTTATCCTCGTTGACAACAGGCTCAATGGTTCCAAACCTGAAGAAGTTGGAATGATGAGGTCACTTGTTATGCTTGATCTTTCAATGAACTATCTAACCGGTCCTATCCCAGCATCTCTGGGAAACCTAAGTAACTTGGTATGGCTTTATCTGTATGGTAATAACCTCTCTGGTTCTATCCCCGATGAAATAGGACAGCTTGGATCTCTTATCACAATGCAGTTGTTACGTAATAATCTCACTGGTGTCATCCCGGCTTCCATAAGAAACTTAACCAACTTGTCTACTTTTTACCTTTTTGAAAATAAGCTTTCCGGGTCAATACCTCAAGAGATAGGGATGCTTGTATCTCTTACAGAACTTATTTTATATGATAACAATTTCTCTGGTTCAATCCCCGCGTCCATAGGAAACTTAACCAAATTGTCTAGTCTTCATCTTATTGAGAATAAGCTTTCCGGTTTAATACCTCAAGAGGTAGGTATGCTTGTATATCTTACAGAACTTTTTTTATCTCAGAACAGTTTGTCTGGCTTCCTTCCTCCAACACTTAGCAATGTTACTCATTTGGAATCATTACAATTATCAGACAACCATCTTAGTGGTCCATTACCTGAGAATGTATGCCTCGGTGGACAACTCGTATATCTTGGGGCTAACAACAACAATTTGACAGGTCCGATCCCATCAAGTTTAGGAAACTGCAAAAGCTTGTACAGAGTTAGGCTTGAAGGAAACCAGTTGACAGGAAATATATCAGAAGCTTTTGGTATATATCCTAATTTGAATTATATTGCATTAAGCAACAACAAATTTTATGGTGAACTTTCGCCAAACTGTGGGCAATGCCATAGTCTAACAAGCCTACGGATCTCCAATAATAACATTTCTGGAAAGATACCACCTGAGCTGAAGCAAGCAACTCAAATCCACGAACTCGACGTCTCTTCAAATCATCTCATTGGTGAGATTCCCAAGGAATTGGGAGCACTGACATTGATGTACAAACTTTTGCTAAGTGGTAACCAACTTTCTGGCAAAATTCCACCAGAGATTGGAGTTCTTTTAAATCTACAATATCTTAACTTGGCATCAAACAATTTGAGTGGACAGATTCCTAATCAACTTGGAGAGTGCTCAAAGTTATTGGACCTGAATTTGAGCAAGAATAAACTTGGAGAAAGCATTCCACTTTCAGTAAGCTACATAAATGGCCTTCAAAATCTAGATTTAAGCCAGAATTTACTTATTGGGGAGATACCACAACAGCTTGCAAAATTACATTCCTTGGAAATGTTGGACCTTTCTCACAATATGCTCAATGGTTCCATCCCAAAATCTTTTAATGATTTGAAAAGCTTGACTGTTGTGAATATATCTTACAATCAATTAGAAGGCCCTACTCCTAACATTAAGGCATTTCATGACGCTTCATTCGATGCCTTAAGAAACAATAAGGGACTATGTGGTAATGCCACTGGACTAATGCTTTGTGCTGTCGCTGCTACTAGCAACGGTCATAGAAAAAGCACCATAGTCATCATTTTCATTGTGCTTCCACTCTTTGGTCTTCTTCTTTTGCTCTTTATCATGGCTGGAAGTTTCCTTATTCTTTGCCAAAAGAACCGAACCAGAAAATCCGAGTCAATCGAGGCACAACTTGGAGATTTTTTCACATTGTGGGGATATAATGGAAGAATACTCTACGAGAACATTATTGAAGGCACTGAAGATTTCAGCTCCAACAATTGCATTGGTTCAGGAGGCTATGGAGCCGTTTATAAAGCTGCGCTACCCATTGGTGAGGTGGTTGCTGTGAAGAAACTTCACCAATCTGAAGGTAGCATGATTTCCAATAACTTGAAAGCCTTTGAAAGCGAGATTCATACTTTATCAGAAATAAAGCATCGTAACATTGTGACGCTGTATGGCTTTTGTTCACATCCAAAGGACTCATTTTTGGTTTATGAGTTTGTAGAAAGGGGAAGTTTGAGAATGGTTTTAAGCAACAAGGACGAGGCAATGGAGTTGGATTGGAAGAAGAGGCTAAATGTTGTAAAAGGAGTGGCCAATGCCTTGTCTTATATGCATAATGACCATTCACCACCTATAATTCATCGAGATATTTCCAACAATAATGTTCTTCTAGATTTAGACTATGAGGCTCATGTTTCAGATTTTGGCACAACCAGGCTTTTAAAGCCCGACTCTTCCAATTAGACCTTACTTGCTAGCAATTTCGGGTATATAGCTCCAGGTATTTATTAATATCTTTCTCTTTTTTTTTATGCTTTAAACATGTCATCATTCAATTAAAAGTGTTAGGTTTGTGTGCAAATTGATGTGTTAAAACAAAGTACAAGTAGTATTAAGATTGTAACTTTTCAAATTTAAGTATTAAAGAATTTTACTCTAATTAAGTATCAAATGTGTAATTAATCTTTGAACTTTAACACTTAATTTTACAAAATTCAATATATCAAACTAATGAACTAAATGTAAAATCTTATTTAAACCTCTAAATTTCAATTTTCATGTAATTTTTTAAATATTCCCAATTTCTTTTCCACATTAATCTTCTCAATATTCTAACATAATAATGTGTTGATTAGATATATTTATTGCTTACTAGAGTACATTGATCAAATATATTTCTTTAAATAGAGTTGGCTTATACAATGAAAGTAGATGAGAGATATGATGTTTACAGTATTGGGGTGCTAACAAGGAAAATACTTATGGGGAGGTATCCTGGTGATTTGATTTCATGTTTCCCATCGTCGTCATCGGCACCAGCATCAACATCGACATCGATACCAAATGACAACCAACTGATTTTACTTAAAGATGTGATAGACCAATGCCTCTCACCACCAGTAAGACAAGTTGCAAAGGATGTTGTCTCTACTACAAAGCTGGGATTTGCATGCTTGAATGGCAGTCCCCAACTTCGGCAAACCATGCGACAAGTTGCTCAAGCCCTTACACGTCAATCGTTTCCATTGCCCAATCCTTCTCAATCATAAAATCTGGGAGAATTGTGGGATCGTGAAGTCTGTAGTGGCTAATATTAAGGTGTTAACAATTTGAATAATAATTCTAAGCAGTGTATTTGCTTTCAATCTATTTCTTTTTCTCTTTGTATTGAAATGTTTAAGCACTCTAGTAATAAAGCTTTTGTAGTGAATCGGCTCTGATATAGAATAGCTGTGTTTAAGCACTCAAATTTGTATGTTCAAGATTTCCTATTTTTGAAATGTAACTAATGGCCAGACTTAAAATTTTGACTTTCAGTATCAGTTGTAATATTCTACTATAATATGATTTGCTACATACTTTCGCTTTGGAAATGCTACAGCAATTCTAATATCACTTTTTTATTTGTTTGAACAAACAAATAAAATTGGTGAGCACACCAAATTACAATAAACACAACTTCACACAATAACCTTTTGATTTTATTATTTACTCGCCATTTATTCTTATACACACTCATACACATTATTTTTCACAATTTCATCTTTCTAACCTTTCACCATTCACTGTTTGTTAAATCATTCAAAATTTAATTGTAATTGTATTGAGTATAATTGAAACGGATTTGAGTGATGATTTTGAAATATATACCTTTAACTTGTACTTTTTTTACTAAAATGCTAAAATGTTGTACTTTTTCAAATTTCTCAAATAAACTTTTATCTATTTTTTATCCAATTGAAAGCATAAAACATTATTCTTATTTAATTAAGTCTTATTTTACATGAAAACCACTAAAATTCATTATTTTTACCATATCAACGGTAATAATTGTCTTTGTTAAATCAATTTCACATTGCAAAACATAAAAATTTAAGTTGAACTATCATTTACATAATATGTAACGAATGGCTCATATAATAGGCCACATTAGCATCTAAAGAGTTTTTTTATTTTCAATATATGCTATGTAGATGTTGGCATCATAAAAAGAAATATGGCATATATGTTGATTTGGCAGTAGAAATAATATTATTTTTTCAATTTTCATCTAAGAAAAAGAGCTTAATGAAACAAAATTATACTCAGATTTAATTAGACAAAAATAATTTTTTAAGGACTTAATTGGATATAATAGAAAGATGGAGGCTTATATGAAAAATTCATGTGATTGATGAGTCATTGATGACATTGAATTTCAAGCCTGCTAGTTAGTCTTCTATTCAAATTTTGAAAAAAAAAAATTTGGTGATACGATAAGATAGTCTTTTACTCATGAAGAAAAGGAGAAGACTTGAGGATTTGAGTTCCAAGAAACAATGTACCATTTGTTTGGAGGAGTTCTTGGTTGGAGACGAAGTTGCCTTAATGCGTGCAGGCATGTTTTCCATGATGATTGCATTGTTAGGGGATTTTCAAAATTTTGCAAACTTCTTTACAGTGTTTAAAATGAGGAGATAATACAATAAACAATCTTGCTTTGATATAATTGTATAAAATCTTATGGCAATCGATGGATGAATACATTTTACTCAAATTTCTCAGTGTCGCCAGTTATCTCTACATTAATTAGTCACACATTAGAATTGACCTGTTTTGAAATATTGAATTTAGTTGTACAAATAATTTTTGGAAAAGATTTATAGATATGATGGTGGCATCTTTATGTGTTATTTTACTTCATATTGAATTATTAGAGTAAAAGAAAGTTTGGATGGTTGTAGGTATAGATTATTCGGATGATAATCAGATTATTTGAAATTAAAACTATTAGATTTGGATTATTTTGAGTTTAAATTATTATATTTTGAAATCAAATCAATTTATTTTAAATAATAATTTCAAATTAACTTTTGAGTTATTTGAGTTCGAATCATTTCAAAGTCATATTAATTCAAGTTTAAATAATTTTTCAAGTTTGAGTTGAGCAAATTTATATTGTTAATTTTTTTCTAATCAAATTAGATTGAATCAGGTTCATATCTAGACAGATTTAAGGTTGTATATTATTATAATTATTATTGTAAAATGAAAATATTAATGTTCTTTAAAAAAATTATTAAAATTTTATTTATTGATTGCTATCCAAATTGAATTAACTAAATATAGAAAGAAGTTTGATTGAGAAACAAAGAATGATCTTAGAAGCAGAAGTACTAAACATGAGAAATAAAATGGATTCTACAAACAATTAACTAAAGCATAGCAATTACTTCCATTAATTCTTCTCTATAACAAATGTAGAAATGTGAAACCAATTTGATTTTGATTCTAAATGAATAAATATATTTACCTTCACTACTTTATATTCACAGCTTACATATATAGCTATGTGTGCAACAAAGCTTTCTCGATCAATCTAATAATGGTATCATCTCCTCTATGTCCCAAGTTTTCTTCTTTCTCATCCTTGCATTGCTTCAAACTAGTCCTTGCCTTAGTAATTGGTATCCTTTCAAACTACTTCTTTAGCTACTGCTCCATCCATTGAAACAAAAACCCTTCAGAAATGGAAAGCTAGACTTGACAAGGGGAGAGAAAATTGTTCAGTTGGTCGATTCAATTCAGTTTTAAAAAACTTCAAAAACCAAAAGCCGATTTAACCGAACCAAGTTATACAAAGCTAACATCATAAGTAAGCTCTAGAATTCAACATCTTTGTCCAATCGAATTTACAACAACTAGAATTGTTCAACATCCAACACGCATACTGTCAACTGCTTCCTAAGAAAGCAGTACCAAGAACATCCGAATCATACAAAGATGAAACAAAAGTTGTATTTAGGAAACTGGTCCTAAGTAGTCACCTTCCAAACTTACCAATGCCTGTAATTCCCTCTCCACTTCCATCCACTGTGTTCCGATCACAATAAATTGGATGACAACGTACTTCTCAATCTTTGAGTGCTTGTCATTCATGAAGATAGCGTTCTCTCCAGGCACATAATGATAGTCGGGCATTTTTACGTGAGACAAATAGATGTTTTGGATTGGTCCACACTTCAAGAAAAATCCATGTTTTAGTACCTTGTGTACAACTCCTTCCAAAATCTCTCCTCTGAACATCTTGAAGGTGATTCCACTGAAGACAACAGAGAAAAGCACATCCCCTGTGTTCCTGTCTAACTCTGCCCTCTCCAATGCTCTCCAGAATTGTTACAGCCATGAAATATCAAAGATCCTTGGTGGCCTTCTTCCGAGCAAATTCATCCAAAAGGTGGACCACTATAGCCCTTCAGAGCATCAAGACTTTGGCATCCAAGCTCTCAGCAGGTATAATGACATTCCATGGCAACTGCACCTTGAGAAACATTCTGCAACTGCAATCAACAAGGAGATGTAAAAAAAAAGAAAAGAAAAAGGCAATTCGCATTTAAACGAATGTCCTTAGAGTTAAAAGAAACAGTATATTAATCTTGAAGGACTCAAAAACTGATTTAGTCCTATCCCAATATCAAGTATGTTAAACCAAATTTCAACAATCCAAACAATAAAGAAAAATATGGCATTTCCTTCAAGAACAGAATTGTAGACACCCAATTTGGTCCAGGCCTAGATCAATTGGGCCTGGTTCAATGGGATCAGTCAAGCCCAAAGATTTGGGCTTAATTATTTATTCATGTTGATATATTTATTTGTTTTTCTTTTAGAATTTTTTTATTTTATTTTCTTCTTTTTCAGATTAATTTTTAGATGATGATAAAGATTAGGATAATTAAAAAATAAATAAAAAATAAGTAAATTCAGCCGTGGTTAGGGTGGTAGAATTGTACATAGATTGAATCTGTTTGTGATGATCTAAGGAGGATTCACAATCGAACTAGAATTCCTCTAATTTTCCTTATAAATTGACACACTGAATGGAAAGGAAAAGAGAAAAATAGAAAGAAACACAAAAAAATAGAGTAAACAAAAAGCAAAAGTGGGCAAAAAGTGTTTAGAAGGGCTACGGGAATCCTAGGATTGTTAGGAATTTTTTTTTCGAATTTTTGGCATTTTTTTTGGCACCAGTTGAATTTTTTGACTACTTTTTCGACATCAATTGAATTTTTCGATGATATCCCTAGTTTTCAGCCAGCTACCCAATTTCTGGCATAACATCTCCAGAAACCGTTGAACTTTTCGATGAACATCCAGTAATGACCCAGATTTTGGCCAAAATGTTTAGAATCCGGTGAAATTCAATCGATATTCTTGGGGTGCCAAAGAGAGAGAGAGAGAAAAAAAAAAGGAAAAAGAGAGAG